CATTTCCCGTTTGGGTTCCACTCAATGGCCTGGCCTCGCATGGGATGTCCCCAAACGGTCTTCTCAGTGTATGTCCAATCCAGTCCAATCCATCTCCAACTTCTTCTGCATATTTGTTGGGCGACAGATTCTTCGTTGGTTGGTTGCTTTGTTGTCAGGCCAGAGTTCCTCCTTGCTTATTCTTTCTGTCCTTCTGATCTGATCTTCAGTATGGAGTGAGCATAAGCAGCAGCTGTTGATGTATGTCTGTAGTAGTTTGTTGGAAATGCTTTTCGTAAAGCGCCAGGTCTCTCAACTATCAAATAGAAGCACTGACTTGACGTCAGTGTTAAAAATCCGGATGTTGTTGTTTGTGTTGAGTTGAGTGCAGTAGATCTCCACACTGATTTCAGATTATTGAAGGGCTAAGTTGCTGTCTTTCCGATGCTGGCTTTGACATCGTCATGTGTGCCTGCGCCACCGCCTCGGCATTAGGTGAAAGAGACAACATCGTTGAGATTTCCCCCGTTGATGGTGATTGATACCTGTTGTTATGGTTGATGATTGGGTATCTTCATCACCTCTATCTTCTCTACGTTCACCAGTAGACTTGTCTTCGCTGTCTATTCTGATAAATTGTCTGTTCCATCAATGAAGTTAACATCGTGACCACCAAGTTACATGCAGCAATAATGTAGTCAATTTGATATAATCTTACTTGAGTGCTTGGTACACTAGCCAAGTTATCCACTTTTCAGACTTACAGTACATTCCGATCTATCTCCCTATATCATAGTTCCATACTATTTACACAGTTCTTCATTTGACGATGGAATTCACAACTTCAGAAAACGTAAGATATTGAAATGATGGAGAATATTTGTAGCTTAAGAGGATAACTTTGATTGGGTTATGTTCTCTGAGATAGATTGTTCAATCGTGAAGCTTCCGTCGTCATTCTAGACAATATCATCTGCAAAAACGTCAAAGAAAACTCAGCAATAAGCTTCTCTCAACAATTTATTCAGTAACTTGTCCTGATGGCCTTGTGTATGATTGGTTGTTCCTGTCAACGTCTTGTCATTGTCTCCCATGTCCATTTTGATTGGTTGTCCTGATGACTCGAAATTTGATGTTGTCGTTGTTACTTACTGGTTGGTAGACTGAGTTAGTGTCAATATGTCTGTTGATTGCTGATTGACCTGAATACCAAGCTTCTAAAAATTCATGTCCACAATTGTCCATATACATTGATATGAGCTAAGATATGTCATGACTCTTCACTGTTAGTTGATATTTATGTAGACGGTTGAGAAGAGGGCAACCACTCTGTTTGATATGGTGTTTTTCGCAGGCTGTCAAGTTTTAAATTGTCTGATAGAATCATGAGACCACTCTATCAACTCTTCGATAAAATATTTAGAAAAGATGTGGACGGATATGAAGAGATCAACTACTTGGTCCAATGTAATGTTGTTTACCGTTTATTTTGTGGATAATGTTTGGTTTGTCGTCCTCTCATATTGTATCTTTTAGCCTGCATAACATAAACTGAAGAGATTTTGTACGCTTATGAGATGCAGCGATTCCAAAGGGCTTCAGTAATCCAGTCGTGATCTCGGAGACATTTTTTTATGTAGGGTAGGACAATCCATTTGTTAGTTTTCAAGGTTGACTTCTTGGCTGATGACGAACTATGTAGACATCTTTTGATGAAGCTGCGTGGATAGCCGTTCCTTCGGGAAAACAATCATCAAACAGTTTTCTTCTTTTCTCCTCAGGGTCAATGTACTACAGTATGTCTTCACTCTTTTATGAAATATGTTTTTATGCAACTGATTTTGTTTACTGTTGGGTTGTTGCTACTTCAGTTGAGGATTTGATCCATATGAGTTGATTTCGTGCATACTCCAATTTCCAATTTCTTCGAATCCGTTCTAGTGATCAGAACATCTAGAAATCTCAGTTTGTTATTTGATTCATGTGTAAATCTGATGTCATCGAAAATATTATCGATTAATTTGTAAGCATTTTTCAACCCATTTCTTTTAGTGATGACAAACTTGTCATTTACATATCGGATCCAAAGTTTTGGTTTGATCAATGGTAATACCTCAGTTTACAATCTCTTCATTACTCCTTCTGCAATTCGTCCTGGTATAGACGATCTCATCAGTGTTTCCTTTATCTGTTTGTAGAGTTTGTTGTTGAATTGAAAATATGTTGTAAGGCATAAATCAATGAACCCCATCCAAATTGAACATTACAGTTGTGTGTGTTCCAAGAAGTATATATCATTATTGAAGAGAAGAGTCATTGTATCCAGTTTCGGTTCAGTTGAGGTGTATCGAGACGTAACATAGAAAGACACCATCAGTTCATCATTGTCCATATAAATATGCTTCATCTTTTCTAAATATTTTATCGAAGAGTTGATAGAGTGGTCTCATGATTCTATCAGACAATTTAAAACTTGACAGCCTGCGAAAAACACCATATCAAACAGAGTGGTTGCCCTCTTCTCAACCGTCTACATAAATATCAACTAACAGTGAAGAGTCATGACATATCTTAGCTCATATCAATGTATATGGACAATTGTGGACATGAATTTTTAGAAGCTTGGTATTCAGGTCAATCAGCAATCAACAGACATATTGACACTAACTCAGTCTACCAACCAGTAAGTAACAACGACAACATCAAATTTCGAGTCATCAGGACAACCAATCAAAATGGACATGGGAGACAATGACAAGACGTTGACAGGAACAACCAATCATACACAAGGCCATCAGGACAAGTTACTGAATAAATTGTTGAGAGAAGCTTATTGCTGAGTTTTCTTTGACGTTTTTGCAGATGATATTGTCTAGAATGACGACGGAAGCTTCACGATTGAACAATCTATCTCAGAGAACACAACTCGATCAAATGTAATATAAATTTAGGGAACAGAAAGTTAAGACAATCGGAGAAATGTGCTGCTTTATCGTGCTCCCATACTTGCTTGTGGTTACCAGCAAGAAATCACTCTAACTTCGAACGAACTAATACCTCTACAGATAGATTAACAGAGAACCTCACTGTTGTCAGATTTCACAACAGCAAAGATGGAAGAATACGGTGATATTACTGTAGAGAAGTGCTGAAGACTTTTTAGATGGCTTACTGTATACATAATCTAAAATGTAATTGGTTCTCAGCCATATCATTAACAGTCTCTAATCATTGATTTGTAGCCTCTCGAGGGCTCAGCGCTGTAAGTCTACTCTTAACTACATGGATTAGAACAACAGTCGAAAACTTCATTGACTGGTGCCACGTCTCGGTTTGAAAGCCCGTAGTCTCCTTAGAATACTATGTTTCCTGGACGAATACGGTATATCGCAACATATGTCCAAAACTACTCAGTCGGTGAAGGTTCATAACACCATCGACTAACTTGCCCTCTTTGCCTGTTACTGTATGCTTAGCATCAACATTTCTCACACAATGATTCTACTACAAGTGAACAATGCAACCCAGACAACTGTGGTATAAAAATTAGTAATCTTTTAATATCGTTGACTTCCGGAAGCTATGTCCCACACCTGTGAAAGGAGATGAGTGGATTACAGCGCAGTATACATGTCTTTTACTAGACAGATGGACAGGCGAAATCAGCACTGAACCCCATAAAAATTTGCGTCGGTTGAAGTTGCCGCAGGTCACAGTAGAAAAAGGCTAATATCAAAGTAGATAAGGGTGTATGGGAAGAGAAGGAATTTAAAAATCAGATTTAGTTAAAAAATCCGTGGTCTAGAAGAAACACAGGGTAAATCCATCTGCTCTGTTGTGACCAATTTCAAGTCTTATCACCAAGAGTACTCAACCACTGATTTCTGTAGTTTTGAGGACCCTATTCATGTAGTCTCTACCTACTCACAGATTTCATACCAACAATTAGGAACTCCATCGACTAATGATACTTTTTGTTTTGACCACCCTGAACCGTTTTCCAACCTAATTCAACTTCTCCTATCACGGTATGTCGAGGTCAGCAGTAGCTAGTCATATGTAGCAGGTGTTGAAGCCAAGTCAGTTGATGGTGGTTTATAACCTCACCGACTCATTTGTCGTCCTTGACAAGTACTCTTTACCTGACCGCTACGTTTTTCACATGGTGACCTCACCATACACTAGCAATACCACGAAGACATCTGTAATAAAAACCCCGTAATCACTTCGTTTCTTTTACTTTTAATGACTATACCTCACAGCCGTACAACAGGACAGGACGAACTGCAGTGAATATAAATAGATAGTCAGAAATGTTGCCAATCAGCGCCACATACAACTCAAGTTGGCAGTTGCAAAACAGGCCTCTTGTATGCAAGCTGAGATTTTGTCATTCACTAGTCTGTTTGCGCTAAGGAAACTTCCCACTTCACTCCCTATCGTTGAGCTGAGAGTACTTGCAGGAGATAAGTCCTGCAGCATCATCTTACACTTCATAGTTACCAGTGAAACGCATGTCAAATATACACAGATTTCTGCTCAGCGCGTTCAGAATACCCTGCATATTATTAAGGTTTTCGCTCAGCAGGACAATGTCTGCATACTCTAAATCAATCAAATAACCTACAGAAAGAAGATCAATCCATGCGAAGTCAGACATACCCAAGGTTATATCCATTAATAAATCCATAACAAAATTAGACCGGAACGCTAACAGTGGTCACTAACAGTTATCGTAAATTCAGAGAGTAATTCTCCACAAGCTTTAACACGGCCACTTGAGGTCAAGTAAAGATAAGCCACCTTCCATTCAGGTTCTCTTGTCAACTGACTCTAATCACATAGCAACAATAGAAGTGCATGATGAATACAATTCGCTCTCTTATAGCCTACTGACTACACTGTAAATTTGATCGATATCGGTTATACCTTACTGATGAATAAAATTTTATTTACTCAACAATATTTTTACATAAGAATAATTTTTTTTCAAATAGCAAACAAAATTATCAAATACTTACATGATGACTTGCTCTATTTCGATATAATCGTTTCAATTGCATAATTCGTGAAGAATTCTCTCCATTACGTAATAAATGCATATGCCATTGATTGATAACCAGTGTTTCAGAGTCAACACTTCTTAGACATTGGATTAGTTCTTTAGCATTATTACCGTTTATATCCGAGATAAGTTTACATCCACTCAAATGGGCTAGTAAACGCGCCTTTTGCGTAACAGTAATAATAATAACAGTAATAATAATAATAATTGTATAGTTTAACCTATTTTGTGTAAAATGAATCAATTGATCAGAAAGTGAATAGATCGGTACATGAAACGATTGAAAGTTTTACTGAATACCCTACAGATATTTTATACTTGCATCTTTTGTGTATATATATGAATCATGTCTTGAATCAACCTATTTCGCACAACACATATCATTTATTAAGTTGGTATTTTGACATATAATGAGGTGATATTCATCATAAACTATGTAAAGTTTGAGAGCACTGAAAAGGGCTTATTAGCAGTATACACACATAATATCATCGGGGGTCGAACCTTGAACTGCGATAGACCAATAAATTTAAGACTGAAGAAAAAAATGAAACATTTACACTTAAGTTCAAACCTAAAAGTTTAATAAAAAACATACTCTGCAAGTGAACTAACCCTCTTGGTTTTGATTCCTCCATGAGGTGATGAATATATAAGATGCTGTGGACTTAGAGAATGGGACAAGATGGTTGTTTCCTAATGTTCTCTAAGTTTCATGGTTGATTCTCTTAACTGGTGTCCTCTATCAATGATGAAGAGCTTTGAGTATAGAGTAGTGACAAAAAACTACTGTCTGGTACCCATTAATGTCACTAGTTATTCTCCGGTCACTATCAAAATCAGACACTTAAGAAGTACAAAACGACTCCCAAGCTGAATAACCCTATATCCCATCAAATGAGTACCTATGTAGACTAGCCTTTATTCAATCTTCCCTTTCTTATTAGTGGTAGTACATATTAGACTGTTTGACGATACTTCACATACCCTTTCACGACAGATGAGCTTGTCTTGTTCATACATACTTCTTGTCTGAGTGTTGACTATTACCAGTTAGTAAAAGCGTCTCTTGATGACACTCTAAGCTATGAAATACTTCCGTTGAAGAATACTAGTATCAAGAGGATGAGAATAAAAGACAATGTAAATGCCAAGGAGTTTACTAAGTAGCTTATTACTTGTTATTAAGGATTTTTGAACTCATACTCTGAGTAAATATGACAGCTCAGATAATAAAGATATGTTTAGTATTTGCCAAATTGTATCATCTGCGGCGCCGACTGACGAGATATTCCACTACCTGCTAAAATGGGTTGCAGTTCCTACTGTCCTTTCTTCAAGGACACGGCCGTTATAAGTAGAAGATATAAAGTAGTCACAAAATGCTGACCAGACATGTCTTCGTAGAACTTCTCATGTTTGATGGAATCACCACGGGAGGAATGCTGAGGTCTGCAGAAGGGTGCTAGCCAAAAAAGTCAAGTCATTCGGTGAAGTTGTGAACCTTCAGGGACTCATATGGCTTCAGCATGTGTCACCTATGCCGAGCCAACATAGTCTACCTTGATGAGCAATGCTAGGTGAGATTAAATTAGGTTAGAAAGGAGTTTAAGGTAGCCAGGATGAGATATGGCACCATTCGATGAAGTCCCTTACTGTTCGTCTGAGCTGTATGGGGAGACATAGACTCCCCGAATAAGGTCCCCGAACTGACAGTTATCGATAGTTGAGGAATTTTTTGACATGGCTTAAAATTAGTCACAATGACGTAGAAGTATTCGCTCTTTGCTGGAATGCCTTTTTCTATTCACCTGTTCTTTCTATACTAATGTATCTTGTGGCAACTTCAACCGATCCAATTGTGTCAGGAATATGTGTTATTTTCGTCTTTGTCTGCTTATCTGTCTGTCTGTTTGTCTGTCTGTCTATCTGTCTGTCTGTCTGTCTGTCTGTCTGTCTGTCTGTCTGTCTGTCTGTCTGTCTGTCTGTCTGTCTGTCTGTCTGTCTGTCTGTCTGTCTGTCTGTCTGTAAAGCACGACAGCTACGAAAGGTAGGAAAATTTCTATTTCATGAAGCTAAATAAGTTGAAAGGTATTTTCAAATTATGAACTTCCGTATTGTTTCATTTGTTCACCGATAAGGGGGAAGTCTGCCGTGGGTGAATTCTCTGAGACTGTAAAATTTATTTGGCCTGTTTTCGGTCAGTCAAATGGAACTTCTTCCTTCAACCAAATTCTAAACAATTATATTATTTATCCTTTGGGTTCCTAGTGGAACATAGGGCTTCAGTAGCACGTCGCCATTTCACTCTGTTTTCTGTAATCTTTTGAACCTGCCTCCACGACTGCCCAGAAGCTCTCATTTCTTCCTTACACGTTCTCCGCCATGTTACCCTCGGACGCCCAACTCATCGTTTCCCATCTGGGTTCCACTCGAAGGCCTGGCACATGATGTCTCTGAATGATCTTCTCAGTGCTGGCCCAATCCACTACCACTTCCTTCTGCATATTTGTTGAGGGATAGGTCTTATTAATTCATTGGTGGCTATGCCGATTAAAATATCAACTTCATTATTACTCTGAGTCATACAGAAAGCCTCAAGATGTTTGCTTAACGTTTTTATAGGTGTGATATTTCATGACACCCATGTTCAGAAAATTATTTTTCTAATTATTAAAAACACTTCGAAAAAAGTCCAAATCCACTTAGCAACTTCTTACGTCGAACTTAAATTCATCTTTTCTTGTGGCCAAGGCAACATTCTTTTCTACCGAGTGATGGTTGAAGGTGAGATGAAAATCTGGACCGCGGCCAGATTTTCATCTGACTTTCAATCATCACCCAGTACAAATACTAGTCTGCCAAACAACGGCTTACATGGTCAAAACATAATGTTCTTTTCGTTTTAAAATTTATACTACTTATTATTAGTAAGTAGTTGTGACAAATTCATCTCATTTTGTCGTTTATGAAGTCAGCTAATGGTGTATTTTATTTGGCACATAAACACCCCTATGCGTCAGCTTTTATGGTTAGATCGTGTCTGCATTTTGACCACTCTTGTTTGCTTCCCAAGTGTATATGGCTTTGATCAGGATTGCACTGAGTTTTGACACAGGCCTCCGCTATCTATGTTATTATTGCCTAACTTGAATATTGCTTTGATCGGAGAAACACATACAAACACCTCATGATCCGAGTTTTATAATCTTACTATTCACGAGTGTTGTCTCTCAACATCATATTTCAGATAAATCCAATACCTTGACTCCGAGTTTTACCAGGTCATCAAGCGTTTGGTTCTGAATTTTTCCAACCATTTCTTAGCAACAGTATAGTATAATCCATGTCAGTTGGATCGCGCTGATCGGTAGTCAGCCGCGGACCTAGGTTTCGTGCCTTTTGGCACTTTTCAGCAAGGCATATCTGCAACCTCGACGAAACTGATGTCCCACGTGGTGTTCTAACCCGGGGCATTCAGTATCACAGTCACCAACGTTCTCACTAAGATGTTCGGGCTGTGGATAGACAACATAAAGTGGGTTACCCTCCAGCAACCAATCACAGTATGATTCTATTTTAGGTTACTTTATTCATCTGATGTTAAGCACATTAAAGAAGCATTGCTGGTCCTATAACCTCGCATGATACAATTCATTATCATCTGACCACGTCATATGATAACTGGGTAGCTTACCTTTTCTAATGCTGTGTGAGAACTTTCAACAGCCCACCAGGCTAGCGGTGAACCACTCTGTAATATTGCCTGTTGAAATAAATTACTGGATATCGGTGAGATTAGGTGTAGTGCAACACAGACAACACCACCGGAATGACCAAAAAGTGTAATTCTAAATTATAAAAAGGAAGAGAGAAAGAAAATCAATATTGTAGCATAAAAGACACGAAATTAGCCAGTGCAATACTATTGGTTAGTGCTAAGTCACTGGCATAAGATCTTAACCAATCAATGGGCGTTAAGATATACCACTATGTTGACTGACAAATCAAATGAAAAAAATGGGTCGGACGCTAGCACTGGTGATACACTGCGTCTGTCATTGGACGTTATAAGCTTAATCTGTAGACAAACGTAAAAATCATATTTCTACTGTTGAAGGACATGAAGCGTATGAATGAACCATTCAGATATTCATTATAAGGTGCCCCAACCTGTCAGTAAGCGACCTGGTAGGTGATTTCTGTGACTATCAAATCCTGGGCCACAGACTTCTAACCAGGTAACCGAATGGGACCATAAGCATTCACACACATACTGAGGTTAACAAACCAAGAAATAGAACTATGAAGATTTAAGTGCTGGTTTATAGGTTGGGAATTCACAACATGTACCAAAGTATGAGCAATCAAGAAGCATGGTTGACCAAACAAGCAAAGTGCTTACTGGAAAGCTTGTACTGTTGTTAGCGATTGACTACTGTAGCTATGCTCAGATATTCACCTATTTAAAGCCAGTATAAATTTCAGAAATAAAGACTGACATTTCCTGATGTTTAGTCCGCCGAATTCAATCTAATGGTGAACACAGATAGATCATACTGCTATCAGTTAGCACTGAAGTCTGTCATCAAAAGATCACTGCTCCTTCTGCATCACTTATCTGGACAGTGATCACGTGTAACTGTGCATATGAATGAACATAGAAGACAAGTCACTGCAAGTGGATTCTGAGAGCACATCTATCAAGTAGATACTGGGCCAACTTTCGAGGAGGAAGTGGTTAGACAGTTGTTGGCTTGGTTGACCGCCCAAGTTACAGCTTCTCATTAGAACATCAAGAAATCCATCTGGAACAATGTCACTAATAAGGAATAGTCAGTTTCATTTATCTGCGTTGCCAAGTTCTAACCACTTCAGCAGACTCCAGCGAGTAATTTCTGTGCTAAAACTTCCTATCTAACCGAAGTATATGATCCTATAATACGCTAGGAATGCTACAAATATATTCATGGTTAGATACTACTAAACAGTATTCAGCGACCATATTTCACACCAATAAAGCAGTACAATGCAGACTGTTACATAGTGTGCCAATCAGCTGAAAAACTTAGTACACTCTAACAACGTCGCGTCACACATACTAAAGCATCTAAATTTACTTGAAGGCGGTCGGTAGACAGGAATTCGACAATTCTTGTGACAGTTACCTGGTACACTTCATTTAAAAATAAAATCCAACTCTGCATATACATTCATGAGTTGGTTCATGGACGACGGTCGGTAAGAAGTCCTCCCTGTAAGCAAAGAATAGCTAGAAACTCGGAAGAGAATTCAGTCAGAACTCAAGATTAGATAGTGGGAAATTGGTTTTTGTTCAACGACTAACTGAAGGATCTAACTCAGTCCTACCCGAGACCAATCGTGGCTCAAACAGCTCAGTGGCAATGTCGCTGACTACAACACTGTGTGACATGGATTCAGACCTCAGGCAGGGCACTGGATCTGTTGAGAATACTGCTGAAAACCAACCTAGAGCTTCCTGACGATCACCTATCAGCATCCAAAGAAAAATGTCCATTCAAATGACATATTTTCCTAAACCATGAAATAAGCTTTCTTGACTTGTGTAATAGAAGTGTCTAAACGGAAAAACTGAGTACTGTCCATGTAGAACGGTTCAATATCCTCCTTTCATAAGGCGAGCTAAATTCACTAGTTAAACACGTCAATATAATAGGCCTACGGAATGAAATCAATGAGCAAAAGGGATAAGGTGTTGTTCATTGAGAAAGGCAAAGACATAAGGAACAACTTACTGTTGTGGATTCCCTCCGAAATAGGCAATATTTTCACGTATCCATTGTAAACCAGCCACTTGATCCATTAAGCCTTGATTACCAGGTATCTCAGTATTGCCTAAATACAAGAAACCTAATGGCCCTAAACGATACTGTATGCTGACAACAACAACATTCATCTGTAAGCATGGGAGGGGAGAAGAAAAAAAGAAGGGGACAAGGAAATGGAGTTTGTTTTATGAGGAAATACAAATGAAGCGTTAAAATATTACCTTAACCCTCAGTTAGGTCTAGAAACATGGTTGACTGTAACTATTGAAGAAGAAGAACACCAACAAACGACACCAACTGACACATCGAAGAGAACCATTGTTAAATCCCTAGAAAAATACATTTGAAGCTATCGGTCTTAGTGAGAACAACATCGTCCACTGAGAAGCTCCAAATAAGGAGAAATGTGAATCCTGGATTCCACCACTAACCATTGCCCATCATTACTATGAATACGTATCATGTCTTGTAATGACAGGGCCAGACAAATGTGATTGGTCAGTTATTGTGAAGAACGTCGTTTCTGATTGTTTAATGGTTTTATTAGCAAACTAATACAATCCAGTAGAAAGACAGTAATTTCTATACAATGTTAGCAATATTTCAGTTTCTTTCAGTCTCTCAGATATCTTCTTCGAAAGTATCGCATACTCTTGTATGTTATTCAAACATCCTGGGCTAGTTTTTTTTCAAAGTGATAGCAAAACCAAGGGAAAATACCATAATATTAATTGGAAATGGACTTAAGAATGCACAAAAATACATCGTATTTCTGTTCTTCGAATATTTATCTTGAACAGCACATTCTTCAACTGGTTGAATGAACCACGACCACTAAATAACGGACGCTAAAGTAGCACAAACTGGGTGCTTCACATTATTATCTTTTGTGCTGTTATGATGAACACCATTCAGACACCATTATCATTTTGTTTGAAGATACTGTTTTGGCAGTGAATTTGCTGACTTATTATATGCTGAGAATTCCATACCGTTGAAGTAACCGAGCGGAATAAGACGCAGATAATAATGATACTAAACCCACTGATACACTAGAATTGAATGCCAATATGATTATTCCCCCCCCCCTTCAGCAACTTATTCTTCACTGAGTTGTTCGAGTATGAAAGGACTAAGTCTGACCTGTGACTACAAAGATGAAAACTTTATTTGATAAACTACGTCACATATATATACGATTTCCATATGCATAAAAATGTCCTAAACCAAAGACAGAGTAACGAGATCTTATTGGCTACTGAATCGTCCGACAAGGTTATTTTGTCCATTTATAGACATAAAATCACTCCTACCCCAACGGTGGATGACCTTGAGAGTTGATTCCAATTCCTGGCCACTTCCTATCAACTGTATCACAGATACTAATTGGAATAAAGCTATTATTATTATTATTAGTAGTAGTAGTAGTATTTCCAAAATTTGTATGGTCGTAATTATAGTTACAGCAAAACAGATATCCATCAATGCCTAATGGATCAGTACATAGCTGTCAAAAACCGTGAATAAAGTTACAAAGTGGTCGTGGATAGAAAATAAGCACACTTCAAAAAGTGTTCACCGAGAATGGTTCACTGAGAGGAAAGTGAAGTCTAAGCATTTCAAGAAAGAAAACTATGTGATTTCAAAGAAGATACTATTAATAAATGTTGGATTCAAGGGATATAGAATGAGAAAAATGTTCAAAAATTAATCGTGCAAAGCACTGAAGAAGACTTTCTTTTCTATCAGAATTCGGATTGTTTTCTCCGGTATAAAGGATAAACTATCGCTTTGGGTCATCTCCATGTGTGTTTACCAATTCACTTGCTCTTGTGGCGCTGGTTATATATGCCGTACAAAGCGTGTTCTATCCAAATGCTGTCTGAATGAGAGTGTAAACACATCAACAGCTCGGTTCTTTAGCATTTGTTTAACTATAGTCACTCTGCTCCTCCAGAATCTTTCTTCAAAGTCATTGGTAAAATGAAATCGAACATTTCAAAGGGAGTGCGTATTCACCACCTCAACACAGCAAAGGCTTTGATAATCCAGCAATTGACCCCAGTACTATCACTAAATATTAGGATAAGTCATAAGTGAAGGAAACCCAACAGGAGAAACAAAGAAAAAGATGGGCTGACCACCTCAAAAAACTCTTGAATCCACCACCACCACAACCTCCAACTCGTTCGAAAATAACAACAGAAGCCCAAACACAACTATCAGTGGACACAAACCCTCCAACAAAACCAGAAGTCTTGAACCTCACTAAGTTACTGAAAGCCAGGAGAGCAGCAGGACCGGAGATGTAATTCATCTAGAACCACTGGAAACAGACGCAGAGACATCAGTGGACATGCTCATAGACCATTGCAGAAGGTTTGAAAGGAAGGAAGTAAAGACACCTGCCGACTGAAAGAAGGGCTACCTCGTCAAACTTCCAAAGAAGGGCGACCTAAGTCTTGAAAGAACAGGAACTGTCGCTGAATCATGCTCCTACCCACCACAAGGAAAATATTGGGCTGCATCATCCTGAAGGGACTAAACAGTGCTATGCATTAAAAATTACAATCGAACAGGCTGGCTGGCTTCAGGAAGAATAAGTCATGTGGGGATCAAATTGCGACGCTACGCTACACATCATCATCGAACAGAGTATATAATGAGAGTCAACTGTACCTGTACCTCAACTTCATTGATTCTGAAAAGGCCTTGGATCGAGGCGTTGACGAGAAGTAATTTGACAACTGCTTCAACACTACGGTTTTAGTGCCACAAACCTTTATCAACCTCACTCAACAGCAGCTCTATGCCATATGATGCTACATGGCAAGTGATTTACAACTGAAAGCTCAGTGATGCCTTTGAATTGAAGACAAGGGTAAGACAAAGTTGCCTACTATCACCGATGATCTTCCTGATTGTGGTCGACTGAACTGGATCTTGCAACAAAGTGTGAGGAGTTACGTGGACGTACAGAAGACAAAGATGTCGAAGATACCCAACCAACACCAACAACAACAAGCACCAGTCACCATCAACGGGGGAAATCTCAACGAAGTTGTCTCTTTCATCTACTTACCTAGACATCATCATTTAAACTACTGGTGGCAGCGGAACAGACGAGAACATCCAAGCCAGAATCAGAAATGCAAGACAGGCCCTCATTAGTCTGAAATTAGTGTGGAGATCTACTGCACTCAACTCAACACAAACAACAACATCCGGATTTTTAACACTGACGTCAAGTCAGTGCTTCTATTTGATAGTTGAGAGACCTGGCGCTTTACGAAAAGCATTTCCAACAAACTACTACAGACATACATCAACAGCTGCTGCCTATGCTCACTCCATACTGAAGATCAGATCAGAAGGACAGAAGAATAAGCAAGGAGGAACTCTGGCCTGACAACGAAGCAACCAACCAACGAAGAATCTGTCGCCCAACAAATATGCAGAAGAAGTTGGAGATGGATTGGACTGGATTGGACATACACTGAGAAGACCGTTTGGGGACATCCCATGCGAGGCCAGGCCATTGAGTGGAACCCAAACGGGAAGTGATGAGTTGGGCGTCCTAGGCGAAGGTGACATAGAGAAGATTGTGTGAGGAAGAAATGAAGGGTTACGGGGAGTTGTGGAGCCAGGTTGAGAAGACTGAAGCCCTATGATCCTCTAGAAACCCTAAGAACGCACGTTTTTATTTTCGTGAAGCCAGCCAGCCTGTTCCGATTGTAATTCCCAATGCATAGCACTGTTAGTTGGTTGGAAGAAATCGGCAGGAAGTCCTGGACCTAGGTTTCGTCAGCAAGGTGTTTGCAACTCCGACGGAACTGACGTCCCGCCTGAGGTTTGAACCCGCGTCACCCAGTGTTGTTTTAGTCAACGACTTTACCACTGAGCTATTCAGGCTGCAACTGACTAATGTGCACTGAGATACTGAGCTTCCTATCTTGGTTGCCACATTGCAAATATGATCGATAGGATTCAGTCTGCACTCAGGACTAGACAACATGAAATTGGTTGCACTCCCGTGACCAATCAATAAATGCATAGCACTGTTTAGTCCCTTCAGGATGATGCAGCCCAATATTTTCCTTGTGGTGGGTAGGAGCATGATTCAGCGACAGTTCCTGTTCTTTCAAAGACTTAGGTCGCCCTTCTTTGGAAGTTTGACGAGGTAGCCCTTCTTTCAGTCGGCAGGTGTCTTTACTTCCTTCCTTTCAAACCTTCTGCAATGGTCTATGAGCATGTCCACTGATGTCTCTGCGTCTGTTTCCAGTGGTTCTGGAGGAATTCCATCTAATCCTAACCACTACTGTTATAACATAAAAACAGAACACAGACACTATCGACGCACCCGTGCAGGAGCTCCTATGCCAATAGAAGCAGATCAATTTCATCAATCAACCAAGGGACAACACAAGTAACAACATAAAACCTATACCCATCGAACAAGAAATGGTCATCTTCAGTCAGTGGCCTGGTGAGTAATCCTATATCGTTTGGAACAATCTGTCTTGAGATAGAGTCCCAACAGGAACAAAGTCTGTCACTGGAAGGCAGATACATCCAGCTGACGAGTCATAAGTGGAATGAAACATGGGTCTCGGGTTCCACCGCTTATCACTATCCATCACTAACACATGTATTCTTCTGTGTTTCAAACAAAGTCTTGTGTGTACGCATGTGTGTAAGTAGTCTCTTCTTATAAAAGACTTAAATTCACTAAAACGAAATGACAGCAGGAAAATATAAAGGCAAATATCAACGAAAATCAATTACATTGCTGAATGGTTGGTTAAATATCTGATTTCAGCAGTGAACGACTAAGGTTCAAAACCTCCAGGTGGTACTAATCTCTTCATCCCTAGCTGATGAGTACCAGCAAGTACGAAACCTATGTCAGGTAAAGAATCCTGCTGATCAATGCTAAGCACTAAGGATTAAAAGCTACATGGGGTTTTGTAATGTCGTTTGAAAAGTGGAGAGAGTGGATCTCAGATACATGTCGTTGGTCGCATCATTTTAAAAGCCAATTTATTTAATTGGTAACGTTTATGCTCTGTTTGGTTCAAGAGCTTTTAATTGATTCTTCATTCATTTATGTATGATTTATAATTCGGAAATAGTTGCAAGCTGAGTGAATCGCATTATTGCCCATTACACTATTTTTGTGCATGAATCTAATTGGTTTATCATATTTATTAATTATGGTGCGTTGTTGTCAAGTCATTCAGTTGCCTCAAATTGCCAAGATTAGCATACAGACAATACGCAGGCAATTGTGTTCTGTTATCACCATGACGTTGTGAGAGCTGAATCATTTGACTCATCCTGGATAAGTATGTCCTAGACCAATCACGTGCAAGGTCACTCCTAAAGTTGAATCGGCAGAATCACGTGCTCAAGGTAAGTCTTACCAATTAAAATTATCATAAGGTTGCCTACTGGCAACCACAGGCAGAACAAATCATCAAGTATAACTCTAATTGGTCCAGTATCAAACCAATTAACAGAAAGGAACTTATCATCTTATCAATACTTCATGGATAATGAAGTTCTGATTCTGAAACTAAAATAACTTCAATTTGACAAGCTCGAAAAGGAAAGCTCAAGTAAACCACTCGTTCGAATCCCAACCTGTTGAACTGTATTTCATCAAAACTAGTGGAACCAACCAGTCAATAAACTTACTTTTCCAGCTAAATAAGCTCCATTGTACATTTCTAATGATGCAGAACCACGAGTTAAACTTCCTCCATGTATCCATACCATCACAGGACGTCCACCTTTCGGACCGAAAACAGCACTGCTTTCAAGCATCAGAGGACTATGTTCACTGGCACCAATAATTGCATCCTGTGTATAATTATTGTTGTTCGCTTTTGTCCAAATATTTAAATAAAGGCAGTCTTCACTCATCTCAGTTGTATTCAGCCAGACACGTGTTGTAGCATCGTTGAATTCCTCTGAGGGGACAAAAAAGAAGCGAAGGATGGACAGACAGATGAGGAAGAAGATAACTAGTTAGAAATTAGACAATAGGAGGCGAGTTTACTTCTTTACTCCTCTCTGTGGGACCTCCAGAAATAATCCTCAACTGCAAAATAGTTCGGTCCGGTATACCTCAACAGTTTTGTATTCACCTGAGCGACAACTATGCCTTCCTCATGAGTGCCAACAACCACGAAATTTTATTTACAATTCCCTCTAGCCATCGGACACTCAGGTAGAGTAGAAAGTCTGAAATTTCTGTCATTACAGAGGAGTAAAGGCCATCCAGAGACAGATTCGTGTCAATTTTCTCATATAGCTGCCAACACCACCAATAGTTTCAATCTCATTTATCCCAACAAATGAGTGGGTGCGCATTGCTGAGTATTCTCATACTAGGACGAAACAGCTCTTCAGTGAATCCATATTTTCAGCGGTACTGCAACTGATTTTAATCTGTGAGGAATGAGACGGGTTTCAAGTTTAAAGCATATTGGCAACAACATTACTCACTGTAAGCCGGGTACATCCAGCTGACCAGCATCTATGCAGGAGCCTACTCACCAACAGTAGACGATAAATTTGGTCCAGTCAATGACGCTTCATTATACCTCCTAGTCAAGTGGATGAAATGACCTCAGTCAACTCCAATTTCTTCTCTTTTTTAAATAAAAAACTAGATCAGTTTACAAAATCTGCACTTCATTCAACTGATCTATGCATTAAAAAAGGTGAACTCATTTAAAACTGGATAAAAACAACTGAAACACAGTTCAAGTGTAAAAATGAGTATTTCTGCAAAAACCATAAACAATTTCCCTTTCTTCTATACATACATATTCATCGTAACTTATCCCTTTTTTATTGTTTTTCGTTATCTATGATTGGTCAGTTCATATTTTAAGATTATTGATTTTTCCTGCTTATATAAATGGATATGGATGAGTGTTTCTGCAGGCCTCGAGATTTAAGTGTATGTATGTATATGTACGTGCGTACGTGCCTGAGGGTAATGCGCTATGACTACCAGGCAATGTTGAAATAGAATTTGATAATAAATACTGTACCAAAATAATAATGGATGATGAATACGATCGACATTTATGCCTTTCCGAATCGGTTAATCCTTTTGATTAATTCGACGATGATGATGTAGATTGTGAAAATGCTAGAAATTACTTTTAAACAGATACATAAGTAAATGAATAATAAATTGCAATAAATGATCCGTTTTCCACACAGATAAACAGACTGCATTATCTGCGTGATTCACAATGCATTTGAAATTTCGTCCAAGTTTCTTCAATTTTGTCAGTTCATTATGTGGGATGAGACAATCGTAGGGATGAATAATTAATTACTAAACTGAGTTACTGTTATCTGGTGAACCAGTATCATAATGATTGGACATGAAATAAGTTACAGTAGGTACTAAGAATAAGTAGACCAGTAAACCTTCGGGCTAGAAACTCCACAGGACTGTTGATTCTAAAACGTTTTTTCTTTCAGCTTATTTTTTCAATGAGATTTTAGAATCTATTTAACACGCCTTAAAATATTCAACTCTTCTTTCTTCATTTTCCTGTCATCAGTGTCGTAGGTAAAGAAAAGGAACAAATTAAAATAATTTTTTATCGTTTTGCTCTATATGAGCCTCCAAACAGGATTTTATTATTATTAGTCCCTTGGGTTCCTAGTGGAACATAGGGCTTCAGTAGCACGCCTCCAGTGACCTCTGTTCTCTGAGATCTTTTGAACCTGGTCCCACGACAGCCAGAAGCTCTCATTTCCTGCTCGCACGACCTCCTCCATGTCACCCTTGGACGTCCAACTCGTCGCTTCCCATGGGGATTCCACTCGAGGCCTGACGCGTGATGTCGTCAGTCGGCCTTCTCAGTGCATGGCCAATCCATCTCCACTTCTTCCTGCATATTTTTGCGTGATAGGTTCTTGGTTGGTTCGTTCCCAGAGTTCCTTGTTGCTTATTTTTTCTGGCCATCTGATCTTCAGCAGCCAGCGTAAGCAGTTGTTGATGAATTTCTGTAGTTTATTGGAATACCTTTCGTGACGCGCCAAGTCTCTGAGCCATACAAGAGCACTGACTTGACGTTGGTGTTGAAAATCCAGATCTTGTTCCGATGCTGAGTGCAGAAATCTCCACACTGGTTTCAGGCTAATGAATGCCTGTCTTGCTTTTCCGATTGTGACTTTGACGTCCTCGTCCGTCCCGCCTGTAGTTGAAGTGCTTCCTAGATAAGTGAAGGAGGTTACTTCCTTTAAGTTTCTCCGTTGACAGTGATTGGGTTTGTTGTTGTGTTGTTGTGGGTGCGGTATCTTCATCACTTCTGTCTTCTCTATTCACCTGAAGTCCCGTCTTCGCTGCCTCTTCTATCAACTTGTTAGTTTTTGCCTGCAGATCAGTTTATGTGACATTAGGCATAAGTCATCGGCGAAATCCAAGTCTTCTAGGTTCTTTTCCGTCGTCCAGTGTATCCCCCTCTTCTCGCTGCCTACTGTTTGCTGCATGATCCAGTCCACCACAATTAGGATATCATGGGGGATAGTAGGCAACCTGTTTCACTCTGTCTTCACTTCAAAGGCATCACTGAGCTTCCCATTGTGGATTACTTGGCATGTGGCATCTTCATATAGTTTAATGAGGCGATAAAGGTTTGCGGTACTCCGTAGTATTGAAGCAGTTTCCAAATTACTTCTCGGTCGACGCTGTCAAAGGCCTTCTCAAGTCGATGAAGTTGAGGTAAGGTGATTGCCATTCTATGCTCTGTTCTATGATGAACGAAGCGTTGCAATTTGGTCTGCACATGATTTGTACTTCCTGAAGCCTGCCTGTTCCGGTCGTAGTTTTGAATCCAGTGCATCCCTTAGCCTCTCCAGGATGATGCGGCTTAATATTTTACTTGGGGTGGACAGGAGAGTGATTCCGCGCCAGTTCTTGCAAGCACTGAGTCTCCCTTCTTCGGGAGTTTGACAAGGTAACCCTTCTTCCAATCGTCAGGTACCTTCTTTCTTCCACACCTTCTGCAATAGTGGTGTGAGCATGGCCGCTGTTGTCTCTGCATCTGTTCTCAGTGCTTCTGGGTATCCCATCTGGTCCTGCTGCTTTCCCGCATTCAGTAGCTTTATGGCGTTCAGGACTTCCATTTTCGTTGGAGGATTTATGTTCACTTGTAATTCAGCGGCTGCAGGTGGTATTTCTGGACGAAGTGCAGGTGGTGGTCGATTCAAGAGCTTCTTGAAGTGGTCGGCCCATCGTTTCCTCTTCTCTTCTTTGTAATTAAACAGGATAGAAACGTCAAATATCACGTAATTTCCGAAGCATAATTGAAGCAAAAATTCAAGAAGGGAAAAATAAAATAAGAATAAAAAATGTGAAATATTCTAAAGTTGTAGAACAGTAAAATGTCCGTACAACAGAGACTTCATAGGTTATTAAGATATTGCACTTTCGCCACAATGATACTCTTACCTGAATGTACACATTATTCAGGTATGTGTAACATACACGCTGTTGGGTCAATGGAGTGTTCAACCAACCTCATGGTGTTGGAATTGTGGATTATTGGCTTTCAACCAGTATACCGCTGGTTCTAATCCCCCTCCACCTACCAAGGTTTGGGTAGCCAGGTAGTATCATAAGACCTTGGTCAGGCAGAGCTTCTTGCTGGTTTCCAGCAACAAACTCACATATGTAACATGTATTTTAACAACTTGAAGTAAACAGCGTCATCAGCTGATTTTTTTCATCGCACCGAGTATACAACCAGTCACATATACACTATTCAATGTATGATTCAACGTTATACCTGTGATGTTAGTTAGACAGCAGTAACCAAATCTTCGTAACATTTGTAAATAGCATACTTTCAATTGTACAGTTTCTTAGTGTGCATTAGGAACAGATCGCGCAACAGTCCAATATACTGAGTCCCTAAATGGTAGTCGAATATCTTCGACACAAAATTTCAGTTATTTTGATGTGATTTGCTTGGGTATAGTTGGCAGGTGAATCCAGGATACGTATTTTGAACTGTTTGGGACCCATCGACTAAATGCGGCTGCATTCTAGTGAATGATGACGTTTTCATTGAGATTTGAAAGTAGCATTCAGAGCGAAAGTCATTTCTAGGGAAACAGGAATTAAAGCTGGTTTCTGGTATCTCCATGTAAATATATTTATAAGCTCATCTTTCTCTTCATTAATAATTGTGATGATATGTAGCATCCTTAACATATGGCAGAATGCATTTTCATCCTGCAGGTTTGTGCCAATTTATTTATTGATTTCAGGTTGGTATTCACTGTGGACTAAGAGCAGTGAACAGCTATTTTGTCCTAGTATTGGACTCCTCAGGAGTATGCGTCCAAAAACCCTACCGGGGATTGAACTCAGGATTTTCAGATTTCCCAGCCAATGCACTAACCATTCAACCATTGGTTTGGAGTTTAATTGTCGCACCACTTTCACCAAGGTCTTCAAGCTCCATCCGCTTCACTTCTAACTGGTTGACTCTACAGGTCACGGCTTCTGATTAGTACTTCAAGATGTTCACCTCGAAGCATGTCATTAATGAGTACTTTACAGTAATGTAGTCTTAGATTTGTGAATATAATCCCACTTCACATCGATTTCCTGCCTACTGTCATCCAAATTTATGTCCCACAGCGAAATATACTACTAACGAACAACTTGAGTAGTAAAAAATTGATTTCGCCAGCCAAAGCAGAGTGATCTAAACACTGGGTAGCTGTTTCGCCTATTTATGGTAAAGCTCATCAGCAGTGCACTCGAATCAAATCAGCTTTCGAAGTTCACGCCCTGTAATCTTCGCTGTGCAAGGTAGTTTCCGATGGAAACTCAACTGACTGACACCACAGTTGGGTGACAGTTGAAAAACAGACTGAACAATTTGATCATCCCATCACATAACATTACAGATAACTGATAGGAAGCACT